GCACCTTCACAAAAACCCCTCCCCCCCCTAGAGAGCGCGAAAGAACGGTTCGCGGACCCCGTTCATTCGCGTCCAACGCGCGTTTGAACGCGGATTGAACGCGAATTGAACGCGCGTTCAATTTTTTAACGCGGACCCCGCGTTAAATCGAATTTCGGACACATAGGTCTCCAGTAGGCTGTAGGCGTCCGGTCCCCAACAAAAAGTCTCAGTCCAAAAATAACAGCAGCATCCAAGGAAGTCCCGAGACATCCGGAACTCACAAGGAGCCGTGGCCTACAGGCTAGTGACCATTACGGGTCCAGAAAAGTCCAAGATTGCAAACATTTGCTCATTCATATTGTTGCGGAAGCGCTGCTGTATGCTTGTGCGACTTACTTCAAGTGCCACTTGGTTGGAGAGACAAGGGTAGTCAACAGCGCAGGGCGCCATCGCTAGGGCTACGAGCAGAGAGAGAGTGAGAGTGACGAGAGAGAGACTCGATACACTCAGAGCGGGAAGCGGTCCATGAGAGAGAGACAAGAGAGAGAAGACAAAGAGAACCCAATGGACATACCACCAAAGCCAACCCACATAGCACGAAAAGGTTGTGCTGCGGATAGAAAGTGTCCAAAAACGTTTTTGTTTTGTGTTGCTCAGAGAGAGAAACTCATGTTTCCCCTTTGGCCTCCTCCTGCCTTTCCTCTGTGCTGCAAGCGAAGCTGCGCCTGGCAACCACTTGTTCTGTTAAATGGAGTAACTGTTCCTTTTGGGGCCTCAAAGTGAGCTTTGCACTTTCATGTCTGATGTGCCCCACCATCTTTTGGTGCACCTTGACGGTGCACCTTGACTGCACAGGAGACTGCACAGGTCCACCGTAAGCATGGCTACCATGTCCACTTGTGTCTGTTTTGAAAACGATTTCCCCAGATGACAGTGTGAAAGGGCAATATGGTTGACCCGCAAGCTGTTCTCTTCTATCAGGGTTTATTGTGACAAATATACGGTGCTTTCAACTTCATTGCCATATAGGTGTGTCGGGGACCAAATAAAAGCTTCTTCGTCACCTTGCTGGTATTTTTTTGCACACCAGGAATTCCCAGTTCCTCCTGTAGTCTCTGTCCTGCTCCCATCGGCCTCCTTTCCCCGCAAAGCCTGAGTTGCTTAGATGGGATTCCCCACAAGCGGTTAATGGAGACCCCCACTTTTCGGCCCTAGGTAACGATGAATGATCCTGAATGATCTTGAGGCGAAAAATGGGGGGTCGGTTAACCTTTTCTCGGATTCCCGTGCAAAAGATTTGTACGAGGTTTTGCATGGGTCTTTCGTAGACACCCTACCTGGGTCCGACAAAGAATCAAGCATGCGTACTTCCCTGAGAATCAAACTTGGCTTGGTTTTCACGTTAAGAAATATCGAGACAATTGCGTTTTTTTACTTTTTGTATGACTCTAGGAAACGCAACTTAGCTGTATCTACATTGGAATCCAGTTAGTTTTTTGAACTTTTTTGAAGTTTTTTCACCATCATGGCATCATCCCAGTTGAAGGACATGCATATGTGTATGTAGTATGTACCTGCTTGATGGCATAAGACAAGATCAGAACTGCCCATCCCATCATGCCGAATCTGCAATTCGTGAACGTTTTGATGTCAAAATTTTTGCCTATCCGCGGATAAAGCTCCATACCCTGCAAGGCATCCCACGGAACACATGCGAAGACATTTCCAAGTCAATTGCCCAGACAAGAGCGAGTGAAAACAAGACAGAGTATGCAGCGACAAGATAACATTTATCTTGACATCAACCAAAATTGGGCACTAATGTTATGGATCAACGTCAAGGCTGATGTCGGCAACAATGTCTTTCCTGTTCATACGGCATTCTGTCAAAAGGTTCAGCATGTCCTCTGTGCATGCAGTTTTTGATATCTTTCTTGAAGTTTTCTTCCTGCAATATCCATCAATTTTCATTCAGGGTCATCAACATCATGATCATAAATGCACGGCCAACGGCCAAAAGACTTATATATGTTCAGCATACGACCATGTGAGGACGGACGTTCAAACAAGGAAGATACAACACCAACATGGGATTGTAAGAGTTGAATTCCCCCTCTCGCCCCCAGCTTCCGCCAACCATCAGCACAATTTATGGTAGTCCCACCTATGCCCAGTCCCAGTTGGTCCCCGTAGGTTCCCCAGGCTAGGTCCTAGGAGTCCGGTAGGTCCTAGGTTTTGAAAGCATCGTAGGGTCCGCTAGTTAGGTAGGTCCTAGGTTTTGAAAGCATCGTAGGGTCCACTAGTTAGAAGTCGTGGGCCCGGTACCCGATAAGAAAAGTCTGTCCCAAGTCCAACCTTGAAGCAGCATCCTGGGAAAGTCCGTACATTCCGGAACAGGCAAACTGCAGCGGGCAGGCGGCCTCGACTGGTACCAGTCTGAAGCTGACATTGATTCACTTCGGCTGCTATTTATATAGTTGCTACAGTGCAGCAGCGATGCACTTGTCGCAACTACAAATAGCAGCCGAATTTTTGCTGAGTTTTGCGCTCAAATTGTCAGCGAAAATGGCGAATTTTTGGCCCTCAGTTAACCATCTCTCGGGTTTGCAGCAGGTGCTGCTCCCCACCCATAGGCAGGACTCAGGAGTCATCAAAAGCTGCAAGACCACAATTTTGGGGATAAGTTTACCATCCTGGGAGCAGTGGCTTGCGGAAAAATGCTTGAAACAAAAAAAAAAANAAAAAAAAAAAAAAAAAAACAGGCATGGGTGAATCTTGAGGAGGAGAAGGGTGAATGGAGTGGGGCAGCTACAACGACCAACAGAGGAGGGCTCACTCTTTTCACTCACCCAGAAGAAGTCAAACAAAATATTACCGGATGATCCCCAATCTGATGAAGATGGCGCCAGATGACCCTGAGTAGCAGGCACACAAACAACAACATGCATACATGCGCACACAAATGAGTGCAAGCACGTGCAAACAGGATGCACAGAGATAGAAACACAAACGTTCAGCTATCCTATGCTTCTATCCATACCTTCTAGGTGAGATCTTCTCGTATTGATTTTCAGGGTAGTGCAGGGCAGATCCAGTGCAACAACAAACTAGCCCCTTCTCGAAACATCATGGCCAGCACCTTGCCAATCAATACTGCTCCCTGCTTGAAACTTCCAATGTGGCCACAGTCAGTGTTTAAAATGAGTTCTTCCTTATTTTCCTTTTCTTGGTTTTTGAACAACTGTGAGACCCCAAGGGCCTCCCAGGTGAGTCACGGACAGAAGGGCCTTAAGTGAAGGCCTGAAAGGAAAACAGGCTTCAGCAGTTTCGTAAGAGGCCAGGTCAGGCCAAGGTAGGGGCAGCGAGGTTGTTGAGATCCTAGCAGGCTGCAGCCACATCCAGACGGTGCGGGAAGGCAGTGCCTACCAGTCAGCCAGATCCCGGCCTCGCCATCTAGGGAGAGGGAGGGAAGCCACCGAAACATTCTGGCTGGGCAAGTGACGGGAGGCTGCACGTTGCCATGACCCAACCCAGAGAGAGACTGGGCCCGACTTCACCCGCAGACCCAGTTAGGGGGCCTCTACCACATGGCCGAGGATCGAAGGTGACTCTCGTATGTCTATAATCCAGCCTCTACAACAACCTGGGCTCTGAAAAAAAAAAAAAAAAAAAAAAAAAAAAACCTGCCCCCCCATCCCTTGGGGAAATGCCTCGGGACCACTCCTACCTAGTGTTTCTCATGGATATGGGTGGGCGATAGGTTCAAGCGTACAATGGCGGTTCTAACTTGTTATGGGTGGGTCGTAGTGGATTTTCAAGAAGTGTCGGTCAAGTCTCTCGCCATCTTCAAATTGTTCTCATGCAATTGCATCATCCAATACTCATGCAGTCGAGGGGTTTCGTTCAGAGCTTTGTCTTATTCCCTTCCAGCGTGTGTCCCTCCCAATCATATTGTCTCTTATCGTTTCAAGTGCTTTTCCGGCCATTCCAAAGCAAGTTCATAAAGGTGCTGGCTTTGTGCGAGGTCGAGCTTATCCCTCATGACTATGTGCCCTCTAGTGAGTGTGAGAGTTGCCTCCTTCACCTGGGATTGGCTCAGGCGAGTTTACCACCATCAGAGTGAGGTTGTAGCATGGACAGGCAAACCAATAGATCCAACATGCAAACCAAAGCAAGCGCCATGCGAGCCCACGCACATACCAGACCTTGCCCTGTAGACTTTCCAGGGCCCCTCCCCTTTCCCATCCTTTCCTTGAGCGTTTTCAACCTCACCCCACCTCACAGCGCACCGCATTTGCCAGATCTCGCCCCAATAGATGGGACCATTCTCAACAAGCCGATGCCCCATCAGTATGTATCCATTTGGGCCCGTACAACACCGTATCAACCACTTCGATGACCCTTGTACCATCAGGCTGGGCCCGAGAGCACAAGTCAATCATGTAGATCAGTGCACCTGTTCCTGCCTTCATAACCAGATAGTGGTGGGTTTGCAGTGGGTTCATCTTCCATATTGATTGCGGATCCGAAAAGTGACCTCTCCTAGGGAGGATCCCTAAATTCCTGGTTCACTCAATGTCTTCCCCGAGGGACCTTGAAGCTCAAAGACCAGGCACAAGGTCGTCCGTCATCTTCAGGGCGCTTGCGCAGGAGGACAAAATGACTCAAATCTACTGCCATTTCCGCAGTGTATCAAATTACAGCAGGCTTTCCACGTGGAATTCGGCAAGACGGGCAGCACACCAAACCTTCCCTTCCCCACCTCTAGAACGTGATTATAGTGTTCCTTCCCCTCGCCCAAACGATTAGACTTGGCTCGGGGCACCTCCACCGGTTCAGCAAAACACTAACCCGGAGCTGAAGAAACTGGGGTCCCGAAAGTAAGCCAATGCCAACTGACACCTGCGCTTGGTCCGGCGAACACGGACACCCTTACAGAAACATTCCTAGGCAAAGAGTCATCCGCCCTCTCTTCCATTGTTCCGAACGCAGGCCCATTAGATGAAGGGAAGAGTCAATGGTGGTAGGGGATTGCAGTCAACAGGAACAAAGGAACAAAGGCGACAGGGCTTTTGGGAAAGAAAGGGGGGGTGTTGCGATAAAGGCTAAATTCTTTGCCTCGTCTCTTATTGTTCGCGGGTAGGTGCATTGGGATAAAGGCTACATTCTTTGCCTTGTCTCTTATTGTTCGCGCGTAGGTTCCTTCTCCAGTATTCTCCTTCAACCCTCTCCCCTATCGATACTTTATACCCTTCCTAGTCATTCACTACTTATCCTTTGGCAGTCCCCAGGCATTTAGCCCTTTTTCTCCCTCCTCACTCACCTGGACAAACGGCCCAAGTCATGCAACAGTCCACAAAGCTCGGGGTCAATGCACATCCCGGTCATGCAAGATAAACACTTAATCAATTCACCAGTCAAGCAATCAGAAAATCAATCCACCAATCAATCAGCAACCAATCAACCAATCATCCGATGAATAGTTCTTCATGCAATGCAAGGAAGAGGTTGAGCCCACTGACCCGACAAAGAAATGGTCTCCTTAGTCGTCTTGGGGTATACAACAACTCCCTTCCTTTCCTCATGGGGTCATACAGCAGCTCCTCCCTTGCCCGCCTTCCCTTCTACGTGGCGGCACAAGCAACCAGCAACCAGTAACCTCCTCCTTGCGCCAAGTAGGCCATGGGTCTCCATCAGAATTCCTTTCCTAAGTAGAGTAGAAGTCAGTGGGTAGTGTTCGTTAGACTTAGACTTAGTTTAGAATCTAGAGTCTTTAGACTTGGGCTATAGATGGGATGAAGAACGTCTATGAAAACCAGAAAAATGCTGCAAGTTCTGATCTTTTCCGGGCGAGGTAGGTGCAACTTCTGAAATGCAGAAAAAAAAGCGCAGCGATTTCTCAGCAGAAACCCAGACTGTTGTGTGTCCACTGTCCAAGTCTCGCTGGGTGTTCTGGGGTGCAAGTAGGCTAGATAGTTATCGATCTGAGTATAAGTCTCGCTGGTTGTTCTGGGGTGCAAGTAGGCTAGATAGTTATCGATCTAAGTATAAATCCCAGCGGAAACTCGAACTACTTTTCAAGGTCTGACTTTTCTGCACAATTTGATCCCAGACTTAGTCTGTAGCTGCTACTGAAGGGTGCCAAAAACTTAGAAAACTCTCAGATTTGGCTAGAACCTGAGTTTTCTGAAGTTTTTTTTCTGGCCTTCTCCCACTTGGGATGTTAGCGCTGCAGCAGCCGCAGTTCTACTGGCCGTTGATGATGATGATAATGAACGCAATTAGGATGATCAGATTCATAACCAAGCTCTAAGCTTACTGGGTTGAGTTAGGCAAGGTAGAGGGGAGAGGTGGCAAGATATTTGAATGAAGAGGTGACTGGCTATGGCCCCAGAAGAAGACAAAGGTTGGACCATCAATCAGGGAAGACAGACCTGGTCCAGCAGCCCAGGTGTGGACAACAGTCTGCATGGCCTGAAGATCAGCCACTGGGCCTTAAATTGGCCAGCACATCCCACAACTGGTCCAAAGAGGCACAAGTGCGGGTTTGGACAACAAAAGAGTCCAGACAACACATCCAGTCCGGGTCAAAACCTCGAACAGACAAAAATAATCTGAAACATACCAAAAATTTTAAAATCTCTGAGAATAAATAAATGAACTCAGACTCCACGCACAAAACAAAATTCCTAACCCAAGGTCCAAAAGTGTCCGGGGCCCTAATGCCACCCAAAGATTGGGGCTGTGCAGCTGAGGGGCAATAGGTTTGTTGGACCGACCCAGAGGGCCCATGTGGTGAGTCGGAGCACGCCACACACAGCATTCGTCAAGGCACTGCATCACCGCCAACCAGCTTGATTGGGATGCGCTTCCACCTCAGATTGCTTACCTATACAATAATGTTGTCCGCTCGGCCACAAGTCGATTGTGAGTGGCATTGCCAGGATGTTAGTATGGGAGAACCGCTGAAAGCATATAGGCGGTAAACCCCTCTTGAAAAAAGTT